TCTCCCCAGGTTTCGGCGCATACAACTATTACGTCGCGGCTAAGTCGCGGCGAGAACAATCTTTGCTGGAGGAACAAGAACGCATGGCGCGAAACCAACAGTTGATGGACGCATACGGCGACAAGAATAGTCTGCACGATGTTCAACACGCACTTGACATGTACAATGTTCGATAAGCATCGGATCCGTACTTCAAGATGCTGGTAGTCTTGGAGTGGAGGATGCACTTTTCTGCTTTGCGATTTGCGTTTGGGCGGAGTTTCAAGGATTTGGGCTTTGAGAATTTGGGCTTTGGTGGATTCCAAGGCACCACATTCGTTGAGAAAGGGCATATATTGGGGAGTTAATGCTATATCAGCTTGATCACGTACATTTATAAGTATCAATTTGATGCAACTTTACATTCACCAAGTATTGTGTCAAAATGCATGTAGATTGCATCTCTTTCAAGACTGTCCTTTAGTATCGATGTAGGGCTTTGGCGACTCTCGGTTGAGCATTTTGCTCTCTGACTCTAGAAAATATTGGGAACTAGTCCAGGTGATATATATATCTATCTATATATAACTATCCACTCCATATGTATATGTATATATATAACCTAATAATTCGTTATCATAGACATGTACTATATGTGGGCAATGCACGCGGCAAATCCACAGTGGAGAGCTGAAATGCATACTCCGTAACGACTCAACGTTGATATCTGGAAATTACATTCTACATGATAATTCCCTCGGTCCATTGGAACATTTAATTGACTCGCCCCGTTTTGCCATTTTTTTTTTAAATTGGTGTTAGGAAGACTATACGATCTTGGGCAAGTCCATGCGACCAACCGAGCACCTTAGCGCGTATTGAGCACTTGAGATAAGCGTTACTGTACAGCTTCCCCGCATACGAAACCCCTGTCAAAAAAGATAACTCGTCTGGCAATGCCTTCCTGATACGTTAGAATGGAGGACATACTTAGATTCATCATCTCCCCCGGCTCTTGGGTTTATAAATATTCTCCATCTTTGAATATCCACTATGAAAGACGGTCCACTCCAAGGCGATGATGCTCGCTTGGCGGCTATGGGCCATCGGCCTGAACTCCAACGTACTCATTCGACATGGTAAGGAAGCGCTAGCATATGCAAGGCCTGACGCTGACGGGGATGCTTAGGTCAATGCTTGGTTTAGCCTTCGCGGTTCTCAATGTAGGTCAGACAGGAGTTGCGACCGGGTCATTTAGCTAACATGAATATGTTGTAGTCGTGGACTGCACTTTCAGCCAGTCTGTCCATTAGTCTTACATCTGGTGGAAGCACAAGTGTGATTTGGGGTAGGTTTATTTAGAATTACTTTGTTTCGGATACATCGCTGACACGCAAATTCTAGGACTGGTCACTGCAGGTTTCTGCAATCTTTGTATCGCATGTTCGCTGGCTGAATTCCTATCAGCATATCCGACGTAAGCTCCGACATGTCTCCCGGTCCTTTTGATATTTGTGCCAGACTGATTTGCTTTACAGAGCCGGTGGACAGTATCATTGGGTTGCAGGTAAATGACTCCGTGCCTCACACACTATATGACTTGGACTAATGCTAACTTTTAAAATTCTAGCCAGTATGTTGCTCTCTAATACCTCGTCAAGTTTATGCTAACGAATCGAAAGTCGCGTGGCCGAGCTCAGTACCAATTCTATCATGGGTTACAGGCTGGATCAATGTGGCAGGCTGGGTAGGCAAGGCATTCATCTAATATGGGTTTCAAACTAACACATATACAGGTTGCCCTCGTTGCAACGAACTCCCTTCTTTCTAGTCAGCTTATTGTTGGCTGTATTTCCGTTCTTCACGAGGTGAGAAAGCTCCCTTCGTACTCTTGTCGCAGTACTAACGTGGTATACAGAGCTATGTCCCGCAACGCTGGCATCAATTCCTCATCTACATTGGACTTACTGTTGGCTCATTCGTCATCAATGCTTTCATGAACTCCATCTTGCCGGTCATTTACCGCGGTGCTTGTGAGTTACCCTTGGCCAGTTTGGCTCGCACTATTCCTAACTATATCCAGTCATGTGGTCAATTGGAGGTTTTGTGATTGTATCAATTACGTGTCTCGCATGCGCCGCTCCCAACTACAACTCAGCTTAGTACGCGCTCCTCTGGTAATATCAGGTTATGGCGGACAACTGACAACCACAGCTTCGTGTTCTGTGACTTTGTAAACACAACAGGCTGTACGGTTCCCCGATAACTCCATTATGACAATTTTGCTAATTCAGCTTAGGGCCTGATGGAGTTGCATGGATGTTAGGTGTATGTTCACTGCACTCATCATAAGACTGCCATGATACTAACAGATTCTTCAGTTGCTTCAAGGAGGGCTTGGCGTGACTGCCTTTGTAAGTCTTCATGGTTACTGCGATACCAAAACCAAGCCAACTAACTTTATCTAGGATGCAGTAGCCCACATGATCGAAGGTAAAAGTTCACCCTGGGTCTGCGAAAATAGAGAAAAGGACTGACAAATCGCGTTTTCAGAGGTGCCCAACGCTGACATTGAGGGTCCGAAAATCATGGTTACCTGTGTGGGCATCGGGGTGTTCACTGGTTCTATCTTTTTGATTGTCCTTCTATTCGTCGCAGGAAATATGGATAAGGTCACAAGCTCCGCAGCCGGTCCTCTTCTTCAGATCCTGATCGATGCGACCAAAAGCAACGCAGGAGGTATCTGCCTTTTGATGTATGTGGCGAGACACCCCCCTCTTGTGCGTCTACTCTAACACCAGGTCCTAGGCTGCCTTTAGTCTGTTTGGTCTTTGCTATAGTGAGCGTTATGACCACTAGTAGCCGAATGATCTTCGCATTTGCAAGGTATTTGATACTCTTTCCGTCACACAACGCGTATACTTATTCTTCGCAGAGATGGTGGTCTCCCTGCTTCTCGGTTCTTTGCAAAAGTCCACCCAACCCTCAAGTTGCCCCTCAATGCACTCATTCTTAGTGTTGTTGTGGTGATCGCATTTGGATGCATCTTCCTAGGATCTTCAAGGTAATAATTACCATCCACGGCGATAGTGCAAATGGTAACTAACAAAATTCAGTGCGTTCAACGCAATTATCTCTGCCTCCGTCGTGGCTCTTGATCTGTCCTATGGAATACCCATTGCCATCAACTGTCTTCAAGGGCGCAGATGCCTTCCAGAAAGAAAATGGAAATTACCCAATGCATTTGGATGGTTTGTCGATTTGGTATGTGGCGGTCATGAATGGAATTGAATAAAGTGGAACATCTCTAACCATGACCAGGTTTCTTTATCATATATCGCTCTGACTACTGTCCTTTTTGTCTTCCCTCCGTCAAGCGCGGTCACAGGAAGCAGTATGAGTGAGTTCGCCTGTAGGTTTATCTTTGACAATATGCTAACTAACCTACCTATCTAGATTACTGTATTGCAGCGTTTGCTGTTATCATTAGTATTTCCGTGTTCCAGTGGTTTGTCGACGGACGGAAGAATTTCACCGGTCCTCGCGTTGATATCACCATCGATGCACTAGACACCGTGCCTACGAGAGAGGAGATCGAGCCCAGTATTGATGAAAAGAAACTTACTGGTCGGGTCTAGCTGGCCCGGTAGTAACATAACGAGGGCCCTGCACTATCGCTGTCAATCACTCACCTGTGGGATGGAATGTTAGCCGTCACGGTTAATTTCTATAGTGTAGGGTTGATATAGGATCTATCACTTTACCGCAATTTATCACATAGGGGAGGTTTCGAGGTTTCCGATATGAGTCGTTTGCGCGCCTAGAGTTCGGCAAACACGTTTTTGTACAATACGAGTCACTTTTTCTGATTAGAATATATTCATTAGATATTGCGACAGTAGGCCTCATACAGTAGCCTTGGTTTTTGTTAATGTCTGCTGGTATAATACGGTGTACCTTTTCCCACATATATCTGTAGATAAAACTGATTATTCATTCAAATAACTTAGCCTTATTTACGGCTGTTTATAGCTATATATAAATTAGGGAAATAAGAAACTACGAGTTGATGAACAAATTCTTCCCCAGCAGATCTTCTTTCTGGAGAAATCGACAACTTGGCTGACATCACTTTACTGTCTATGAAGATAGATATGATCTCATGAGAGCTCTTGTTATAATTACTTCATATTGTTCTAGGCTAGCCATGTCTGCGTAGCCTTAACATCCAGAATTATTATCACACGAGCTCGATCCAGTATCACATGAGCTCGACGCAGCAGCAGCGATGGCGGCGGCCTGCTGTCTCTGTCTCTCCTCCTCTCTCCTTTTCTCCTCCTCTCTTTTTCTAGCCTCGGGATCCATATTTGGTCTGTTCTGTATAGCCTATTAGCCTTCTAGGTAACAAAAAAGCGGGAATTAGAGGACAGACCGTTGAGATATTGAATATGCTTTGGGTATGATTTGCAGCTGAAAGACCGTGGTTTGCAACTTATTTCTATTGCATGGTTCATGGTCAGGTTGAAGTTCCAAAGCAGACGACGAATCACGGTCTGACTTACTCGGAGTCTTTGATGAGGTTGGAAGATGACTGGAATGAAAATTAGTCGCGGGGACTCTGGGGTCTTATATAGAGTAGAACTGAACAGTTATTTTGCGAAATACTGTATTTCAAAGGTTGCTTAACACACCCCCAAGGCATACAACCCGGAGTGAGCCTCGTCCACATCAGCTAGCTTGATTAACTGTAAGACTATGCACAACCAACGCCTTCGCCCTACATGAGCCAGTCAAATTTTCCAATTGCATCCACTTCATATTATTGCTCCGCTCTCTCGTTCTATTTTACCCGAGCGGTTTTATCGGGAAAAGTGGAATGTCACTACAGAGCCTCGTATCTTGGGTGTCTAGCGCCAATTTCTACAACCGAGTATTCTAAATATCTTGAGTCAAACCAGAGTAGAAGAACTGTCCTGATGGTCTTTGGTAATAGATTCTGATTTGCAAGATCTGGGCTCAACATGACGGGGCGTGCTCAATGGGGCTCAATGGGGCGCAAAGAGACACCAAATACTTTCCAGGTAAGAGTTTTAGTGTCCATTTATTACAATCTATTTATACAATCCACAAATTGAATATCGACCCAGCACATCTAAAGTGTGTCTCAAATATTCTTTCTTGCATCTCCTTAATATCCCACCACCTATACCGCTAAACAACAAGAACTGGCTTTATCAAAGGCAAACCCTATACCATAGCAGGCCATGCGTATTGGATTCGTCGTCATTCGCTTATTTTACGCCTGGGGCGCCCTCCGATTCATCGCAAGCCAAAATCCAGAAGTTCTCGCCATAGCCCCCTCCCCGTACAATCGAACCAGGACCCAGCTGGCTCCTCTATAGGATCAATAAGTACAATAAACTAGGTAGACATCAGCAATGTAACAGTAGTAAAAGGCTAGGTATTAGCATTAACGCTGGTGTGCTGTGAACTTGACCTTTTCCTTGTTTTCATTTCTAGTTTGAACCGATGTGCCTTGCGAGCCTGGTGGCGGTATTCAAACACCCTTGATATGGCTTAAGAGTTTCTAATTAAAGAGATTTAGTGCGTAATAATGTTTTTTTCCCACGTACTAGGGTTGGGGATGAGATTGCCAGCTAGTTTTGTTGTTGCTGGGTGATGGTACTTCGTATACGACGGGACTGGTTTTTATTGTAGATAACGGATAGGCCTGGTAATTCCTGGGAGCATTTCTCATTTCTTCTTGTTGAATTTTGGATCATCCCATGAGTGTTTGCTTGCATGCTGAGCAGATTGTTTGTAAGTCATCGGGGTATAAATCTCCTGTTTTTTACTATATTGAACAACCTTCACCGGTAGCCATAAGACTGCTAAATGTATGTGCGCCTTAAGGTGGCATAAAGGGGAAATATGGGATTGCACATGATATGCATTGATTGATAACAAGAATAGTCGGTTGCTTAGGCTCTCTTTTTGGACGTCTTTTTCATATTTTGTCTCCCTTCTCAGTTATCCAAGTAGACAGCAGAAAAAAGCGGGAAAACCCGTGAACTGTGCAGGCGACTTTTCTATGTATACCATGGGATAATGATGAACGAAAATATGCAATCCTTAGGATCGCGCTCTGCACTGCCCGATGCGAAGAGCCTGGTTGCTTTTCTTGTCCTTGCTTGCTCTTTATATTATAGACGGTCATTTGCCCTGATCCCTCAGCGATATGCAGGCTACCACCAATATAATATTGTTAAGAAGCAGAGAGCCGAGTACTGCCTTGAGCTGGGTCAGTGCAAACAGCCCAAAATCAATTAGGGCTGGTCTGACCATACGATAATCTCCATTGGTCCCCGTCCAAAACCTTCTGATTTACATCTGTCTCTCGTCATCCATGTCAGTTAATATTCCCTCTAAGTCCCCAGTTTCAATATTAGATACCTTGCGCTTTCTCATTACTGTTTCCTATCCCTTTCTCATAAATATATGTGTACCCAAAAGGCGGCAAGGCCTAAGCGCTAAAACGGAAGGGGAAAGCCGATAGATACACTCGCCCCATCAAGTCTCTCGAAGCCTGGAATGGAGCTGGTAGATGGGCGGTACAACTGTTGCCCCGACTTGTATTCCTCGATATGTCTTTTTTTTTTGTCTTGCACTCTCATTCCCATCAGAAATAGCGTTCCCCAAAGCTCATCGTCACATATATCTCCCATCCCTGCCAATGACACAGTGCAAGATCGGACATCCAGTCAGCATGTGTCGCGTCCTACAGAATGAAAAATGCCGCAGTATCAATGCTCACCAACTCCACTATTATACCTTGAGTTATGGACCCGGTCACACACCCTTGTCACCAGAAAAGGGGGTAATCCCCGAGTCTGCAGATCGCGAGATTCCCGGATAAGGGCCGCAGACAAAGCTTCCCGAGTTAATACTTACCAGGGCACACTTGCAACATGCAACCAGGGATATACGTCGGAATTACCAAAAGTGCACACAAGTGGTCGGACAATAGTCGGGAAACCCCCACAAAGCCGAGACGATGTCGATCTTTCTCTTCCGAGCGCCATGGCGTTAAAAAGGCTGAAATACCCCGCAGCCACCATTGTCACGGCAAAGCTAAGAGTTTCAATTAGATGAAGGGAGTATCGTATAGTAGAAAGAAGATTCCAAAGACAAGCTGCGGTGAAGCAAAATTAAAGGGAAAACTAGGTAATTGTCCCGTATGGCATAGATGAACTAGCATTTGTAGAACATCTCTAATATTACCCCGTATGCATTCTACATTTGTGCTAAACATCGATCTAATCATCTCGGCTTGAAATGTGTTAATTGGCGGAAATATATCGGGCATCGCATCCTCCAGCCAAGCAACAGCCACTGCCAAGCCTGGGATTTCCTCAGCGGCGTTGCGGCGTCTTGTCCCTGCATAGCAATATCAAATCTCACAGTGATGCGTAATTCAAGGGGTCACCCGTGCTACACTTGGCAGCGTTGATAGTGATCATCTTTACAAAGGCCTAGTTGAGACAATGTCTTCACAGAATGTTCTTCTACCCAATAAAATAACTCTCCATGATTGGCCTTCGTGTCCGTACCCTGTAGAAAAGGCAGGATCGGATCGTGTACTATGTGGGCAATTACATAACCGGCACTGGGTTTGGGAGTACAACAACGAGCCATGAGAATATAAAAGGACCGACCCCCAACACTTGGTTTGGTCTGTATCCGATTCCAATCATTCACTTTGTTTCCAACAAACTACGTCTTCACTCAACATCATGAAGTCTGCCGCTGTTGTGCTCGTGGGCTCATTGTCCACCATTGTCGCTGGACATGGCTATCTTATCACGCCGGACAGCCGAACAAAGCTCGGATTTGAGGTTAGACTCCTGGAACTGAGGATCAAAGATATTCTTTTGGCTGACAATATTTAGGCTGGAACGGATACATGTCCCGAGTGCACCATTCTCGAGCCTGTTTCCTCTTGGCCCGATCTCGACGTCGCCCCAGTTGGCCGCAGCGGTCCCTGCGGGTACAATGCCCGTGTGAGCGTCGACTACAACCAACCCGGCAAGGACTGGGGTACCGATGTTGTCAAGACTTACAAAGCTGGCGACGTCATTGACGTCGTTTGGTGTATTGACAACAACGGTGATCACGGTGGCATGTTCGCCTACCGTATCTGCCAGGATCAGGATATCGTCGATAAATTCCTGGACCCTGATTACCTGCCAACCGAGGAGGAGAAACAGGCGGCCGAGGCCTGCTTCGACGAAGGCCTTCTTGAATGCACCGATGTTGATGGACAGGAATGCGGCTACAGTGCCGACTGTAGTGAGGGCGAGGCTTGCTACCGTAATGACTGGTTCACATGCAACGGCTTTGATGACACTAAGTGCAAGGGCGTCGACAATGCTGCGCTTGGCTCCTGCGAGACAACAATCGCCGGCGGTTACACTGTCTCGAAGCAGGTCAAGATTCCCGACTACGTCTCCAACCACACTCTGCTCTCTTGGAAATGGAACTCCTTCCAAACGGGTCAGATTTATCTCTCCTGTTCAGACATTGCTATCGAGTGAGGGGGTTTTCGGTTACCCGGTACCTTCATAGGTATTTAGAGCAGAGAAGAATTCATGTGGAGGCAAGGACACGGACTACAAGAGCTAGGATAGATTGGGTTTTATAACGCATGTCATACGAAGATTATCTTCAGGGCTACTATACATGTATATATTGAATTGCAGCAATCTATGATTATTGGTTTATTACAGACCAACCAGAGGTGATCCATAGCCCACAGACTCTAGATATATTCATGCGTAGCCAATACACTGGATCCTCACAGAGCCGAGAGTATCAAAGAAGCAAGACTTCCAGCGGTGGCCCAAGAGGGAACGATCAAAGAAGCCCCCATCCCAGGCTTTACGTCACTCTCTACCGTACCAGTTGCACTACTCGTTGCAGTAACATCATTCCCGCCACTACTAGTCTTTGTACCGGTAGCAGTAGCATCTGCCAAGGACACAGTGACAGTATGCATCACCGAGTTGGTAGTTGAACCAAACGTCCATCAGAAAGTATCACCACTGACAAGGGTGGAGACGATGCCGCCTAAGTTGGACAGGGTTTTCGTTCCATTGCTCGGCATGCCGCTGGGATGGTAGAATTTACTATTCCCGCCGGCATCGGCACGCCCAAAGCCCAGGTCGCCGGCGCAATCATAAGCCTCAAGGTATGGTCCGCATTCCTCCCAATGGCCGGGATTGAGAACAGAGGTAAACCATTCATCTACACTCGGCATGGAGGGTTTGGTGCCAGGGCAGGTATTAGAAATAGAACGGCAATATGGGATTCCTTTAAGCTCTGGGATGGAATCATACGCGGAAATTATAGCGCTGTATCCACAACAGATGCACGCTTGACCATCAATCATCGTGTCAGTATCAGACATTTGATCGGTGTTGGTGCTATTATTCGACCTCTCGGTGATTTGATTGTCGATCAGGTATTCCTGTAGGTCGATTTGCTGAGATTGCAGGAACAGGAATCAGGGGCATCGTCGGGTGTCGGCGAATATGGTAAGGTTGGGGTTATCACAGATATTGAGGAATTCCATGACTATATTTTGGTACTCGCAAGAGTAGACCTAAGATAGGGGTGTCAAATTTTCAAGATATCCGGATTGCGAAGGCTTCCCTACCTGGTTCCAACAACTCTGGCCTACGCAATCGATCTGGAGGGCGGACCTTTCACATTCACAAGCATTAATGCAGTCGATTCCCAGGCCAGGACATTGCTTGTTCACGCAGGATATGCTTCCACCACGTGTATTCTAGCAGGATTGACTTCCCCCGGCACAATTTTTGTTTACGCAATTCACGTAGTTGGTATCGACATTCTCATAGCAAGTTGAAACCCCTTTGGAATCAGCGCAGGAGGCTGACTCGAAATAGCCGACTTCCTTAGCGAGCGACAGAAAAGAAAGGGCTGCTAGAGCTAACAGCAAGCGGGATGAGAGACTCATTTTAGGTGTTTTTGCGCGATAAACAAATTTTTCTCAACATAGTGTCTCTTGAAGAAGGGTACTCATATTTAAGGTGAACGCCACAAGGCTGGAGCGACAGGGTTCGCCCTGGATATTAGTGCTGACATGGGGCTCGAACAGATCCAATCAAATCTAAGATGTGCTATCGGCATAAACGATCAACGATCTACCCTTTTACTTATTATAGGGTCAGGTGCATCTTCTCTAATTTGCCCCAGTGTGGACTAACTGGGAAATGCTAAGCAAGATAGATAAGAGTAGCCAAGCCCAAACGGACCCTGTTAGTCCCCGTCGCGACCTATTAAAACCTGCTTATGTAGGCTATTACAGCGAACCCGAAGCCGATAACGTAGTGGGCCCCATTCTAATATGCATGAGGGTTTAGTGTAGCCTCTTAGGATCGGAATCTCTATACGGTCTGGATAAAGCAATTTGCTTTCCGTTTGCTTTCTTCATTCGTTTGCTTTCTTTTTTCCGTTTACTCTTCCTGGTGTGTATTGAACTGCCGGGAAATGCCACATAAAAACAGAAATGACTTGCCTGATGCCGTGCATGTCATTGAACAATTGATACTCATGATACTTATAAACCCCTATTCTTCTTGCTGATTTGCATCCAGGGAATCTTTTTCTGACACTTCACCATGCTACTAGAGAGACCTATTGCTGGCCCAGAGGCTTCTGCCCTCGGCCAACCTACTACCAATGTAGCTAAGGCGAGCGGGCGCGATCTACGGGAGACACAATATCGGTATGATGCGGAACGCAAGAAACGCCTGCGCCCAGATGGACCAACCCAATATGTGGGCTTGACCGATGAACCCACCAATAATCTTCATTCGAACGGAAATATGGCGATCGACAACAACCTCCAGCAGAACAAGGCCCGAGTGGTCATTGTCGGTGCTGGATTTGGAGGACTGCTCTTCGCGGTACGACTACTCCAGTCGGGATTTCTTCGTGCGACTGAGATCCTCTTCGTGGATACAGCAGGTGGCTTTGGAGGAACGTGGTGGTGGAACAAATATCCCGGCTTGGCCTGCGATATCGAAAGTTACACTTACATGCCCTTGCTGGAGGAAACAAATTACATGCCGTCACAAAAGTATGTCACCGGGCCGGAGTTGAGAGAACACGCGAATCGCATTGCCGATCAATGGAATCTCAGTGAACGGGCGTTATTCCAGACCAAGGTCAATAACTTGGCTTGGAATGACCAGGATCGTCAATGGACAGTCCATATCACACCACACAGCCAGTCACCCACTGCAATACAATCCGATTTTGTCATCTTAGCTACCGGACTGCTCAATTCCCCAAAACTACCAAAATTGGACGGCCTCGAGACCTACAAGGGGAAGGTTTTCCACACCTCTCGCTGGGACTATGATTACACTGGAGGAAGTCCAAGCAGTCCAACCATGCATGGACTACAAGACAAAACAGTTGGATTTGTCGGAACTGGCGCATCTGCTGTCCAAGCGATCCCACACCTTGCCCAGTGGGCAAAGAAAGTGGTTGTGTTCCAGCGCACACCGTCTGCTGTAGATTGGCATCACAATCACTCCACGGATCGCACCTGGTGGGCGAAAATGGTCCAAGAAGCAGGCTCTGGGTGGCAACGAGAGCGCATGGAGAATTTCAACGCCTTCCCTTCAAACGAGAATCCCCTCCCAGATGTCGACCTCGTCGATGATGGTTGGACCAAGATGCAATCATTCAGTGTATTGATCGGGAGTCCATCTGGTCTTGACCCGGACCATCTGACGCGGATGCAGCAATTGGATTTGCATCGCCAGGAGGCAATCCGCCATCGTGTGGAAGCCACAGTGACCGATCAAACGACTGCTCGGGCTCTGAAGCCGTGGTATCCCGGGTGGTGCAAACGGCCGTGCTTCAGTGACAACTTTCTCACGGCTTTCAACCAGTCTAATGTCTCTCTGGTCGACACTAATGGAAAAGGGATCCACACCGTTACAAATCAAGGGATCTTGGCAAATAGCCAAGAGTATGATTTGGATGCCATAATATTTGGGACCGGCTACAGTCTTGGAGGTAGTGCCGATCTTGGGGATCTGACTGTGACCGGCCGTAACAACCAATACCTCCATGAGAAACGGCAGAATGGGCTGGCTTCACTCCATGGAGTAATGACCAGTGGGTTTCCGAACCTATTCTTTTCGGGTCCATATCAAACAGGAGCTTCGGTAAACCAGGTCTATGTTCTTGATCAACTTGCCGTTCATGTGGCCCACATCATCTCCGAAGCCGGCAAGTTGACCTCGGAGAGAAACCCAAATGTTACCGTTCCCGGGTTTACTATTGAACCTAGCCCTCACTCGGAAGGAGAATGGACTGTTAAGGTTTTGATGAGAGCGCGAGCACTGGGGGGTGTTTTAAATTGCACTCCGTCGTACTACAATCGGGAAGGACTCCAAGTTGAGGACCATGAAGCCTTGCAGGTAGCACAATTCAGTATCTGGGGGGAGGGGATTAAGAGTTATGTGAAAGAGATTGAGAATTGGCGACAGATGGGCGGGTTGGTCGGACTTAATATTCAGTCCTGATGTAAGTTTTGGAATCATGTTCTCACAGATATTGAAATGACTTTGGATTTTTTTTAAAAAAATTAATGCTTTACCTCCTTCCTATTGCTGTACGGAGTAAAGAGAGTGATGCGGGTGTAACCAAACACTCGGGTCTTAGACTCAAGACACTTGCGCGAAGTACAGGGACAATTAAAATTCTAATCCCTGTCAAAAAGAATGTGTCAAAATGACTGTGTCAGTTTAACCAGAGGAAAGAAAAAAAAAAAAAAAAAAGGACTGCCACAAATCATAGTCGAGGCCATGTATTGAAATCCCAAAGGGGAAATAGATCATGATATGTAGATAATAATAACATAAGTCTATACCGGTAACCAGCCGGTGACCAAATTCAGTATGTTCAAGCAAAAAGTCCCGGGGTAGCATTTTGCCCCAGGAAAGTCAACCCAAACCCATGAGATCCGGAGGCTTCTCCATGTTCTGAAAGGTCTAATTAGTATGGAGTTGCATAAGTACACACTCGGGCACAACCGAGTCCGATCCCGTAGATAATTTTACCCCTCAAAAAGAACCGTAAATCCTCATTCTAACGGAAAGTATTCACCGGCCTCGGAGTTGAGTTCGGCTTGCACTTCTTTTTTTTTTTTTTTTTTTTTTTTTCGGTCGGGGACGAGGCTAAACTTCGGTCCCCGCGTACCATGGGGTGGGTCACTCGTGGGACCATTTTCAACCGAAAACATGGCAAGTTTTTTCTCCCGGGTCCTCCGTACATGCCGAGGAATACGGGGTAGCATTTCCTGTATTTGGGCGTTCCAAGAGTTAACAGGCTTCGGAAGTTTTGTAGAGTCACATCTGGAAGCATCGAATAGCATGCCACGCTCAAGCGCGAGAACAGCGCAAAGCAGCCAAGAGAAAAGGCGCTCACAATCCTGCCGACAATAACCCGTCAATCATCTTGGTGGCAATTCTTCGGCACGGGTCAAAAGTATGAAAACTCAGTTTCACGTGAGTGCCAAGGTAAAATGCGGAGATGAAAAGTTAAGACAGTGATGGATTTGTATGTAACTGGCTAATTTCCCCGTGGGAGAGAAGCCTTCCAAAAGCCTTCAAAGCCCATTCTCTTCGAAAAATCTTGTGTTCTGATAGACCCACTAAGTGGTTCGGCTATGCCCGAGGGCCACTTTGACAATGTTGATCATTTTAGGTTTAGTGTCAGTTTTCTCTTTCGTTTTTTACAGAATACACCCTTTTGAATAACTAGTAAGCCTAAACTAATTTCCCGTGTATATATCCCGTACCCTGTTACCCTGTTCATAGTCAGCTTGCCTTATGCCAAGACTAGTGTTTTCCCTGCAGGTAAAGGGGATAGTAGTGGGATTTTGTGGCGTCCCTTAAGGTCTGTGCTTTGGACGGGTTGCCCTCAATGTCACATCGTGAATATAGTAGGTTTTAGTTTGAATTAATTTTGAAATTTGGAGTGAATAGTCCCTTTAGATCAGCAGACTTACTTGTTTGTTTGTTTTCTTCTTTCACTAAAAGTAAAAATAATCTGGGGTAGAAGATTTACTATGTATAGCTATATAGGAAGTCACAAGGGGAGAAAAAAAAGGTAAACACAAAAATATTTACGGGGCACGTGGCGCACAGTCCCATGAAAATCAACCAATTAACATTGTTTTTCCCGCGGACAGTCTATCCCAAAGTGGAACATCTCCGGTTTTTCTTTTAACCCGAGGCTCTGTTTGGTTCTAGATGTCCCTATGGTGGATTTTCTACTCCATATAGGTTTTCTATGGTTATGGATTGAGTGGTTTATGGGGTTGTCTTTCACTTGGACCTTCAAATGGCCGATGAGACTGTGATCAGCGGATCAATTCTGGGGATTCCAACCAATCAGATCCTCTAGGAGTACCGGCTTGGGCCGTGCAGCACTTCCCCGGTTTACCTATACTTGCCGTTTCTATGTCAAATCTCCAGAGCCGACTTGGCTACACAAGTCATTCCAGCCGATTTCTAGATTTCTTGTAATTTGTTGCCGACCAAGCTAGATATGGATTAGATTGGTTTTTTGTATTTTTGGTTTTTTTCCCTGCAGCGTTATTTGGCTTTTTTTTTTTCCCGGGGGTCCTGGGGATGAAGCTCAAGTGGCTCTCTCCCCCAGGATATAAATCCTCTTCCCTTCCCCAGTCCCTCTCTTCTTCCTTCATCCCTCATCTCTCATCCCACATCGGTGTATCTCACTCCTCCTTTGGATTTCTCAAAATACATCTATCCTCATCGACTCGCTACCATGCCCGGTGGAGCAGTCGTCTCTGATGAGCAGGTCGACGCCTCGCGCGTCGAGGCTCCTGTCACTTTCAAGGCCTACTTGATGTGTGCCTTTGCTGCCTTTGGTGGTATTTTCTTCGGTTATGACTCTGGTTACATCAACGGTGTTCTCGGTATGGAGTACTTCATCTCCGAGTTCGAAGGTCTTGTGAGTCGTCAAATGTCTCCTAGTTCCTGGAATCCCACTAACCCGTACTCAGGATCGTGCCACTACCCCCGATGACGCATTCGTCATTCCCTCCTCCCGAAAGTCGCTCATCGTCTCTATTCTCTCCGCCGGTACTTTCTTTGGTGCCATCATCGCCGGTGATCTGGCTGATTGGTTTGGTCGTCGGGTCACTATCATCGCTGGCTGCATGATTTTCATCGTCGGTGTCGTCTTGCAGACCGCTTCTACCAGCCTTGGTCTTCTCGTTGCCGGTCGTCTCATTGCCGGTTTCGGTATCGGATTCGTCTCCGCTATCATCATTCTCTATATGTCCGAGATTGCGCCCCGCAAGATCCGTGGTGCGCTCGTCTCGAGTTACCAGTTCTGTGTCACCATTGGTTTGATGTTGGCCTCGTGCGTGAACTATGCCACTCAGAACCGTGCCGACAGTGGATCGTACCGGATCCCCATTGCCCTCCAGATGCTTTGGGCTCTCATTTTGGGCGTTGGATTGTTCTTCCTGCCCGAGTCCCCTCGATTCTACATCCGCAAGGGTCAAAAGGATAAGGCTCGCGCTGTGTTGGCCCGTATCCGTGGCCAGCCCGAGAACTCAGACTTTGTTGAGTTGGAGCTGAATGAGATTGACGCCAACAACCAGTACGAACTTATGGCAATCCCCCAGGGTGGATACTTCAGCACCTGGCTCAGCTGCTTTACCGGAAGCCTGTGGCACCCTAACAGCAACATTCGTCGTACTATTTTGGGTACCTCGCTGCAGATGATGCAACAGTATGTCTCACACTTCCTCCCTAATATTGAATAGAGACTAATAAGCCATAGGTGGACTGGTGTCAACTTCATCTTCTACTTTGGAACCACCTTCTTCACGCAGCTTGGCACAATTGATGATCCCTTCCTGATGAGCATGATCACCACCATTGTCAACGTCTGTTCTACCCCCATCTCCTTCTACACCATTGAGAGATACGGACGTCGCGCTTTGCTCCTTTGGGGTGCCCTGGGTATGGTTATCTGTCAGTTCATTGTCGCCATCATTGGTGTCACCGACGGCGAAAACAAGAAGGCCGTCGCTGCAATGATCGCTTTCATTTGCATCTACATCTTCTTCTTCGCCAGCACCTGGGGCCCCGGCGCTTGGGTCGTCATCGGTGAAATCTACCCTCTCCCCATTCGGTCTCGCGGTGTTGCCCTCTCCACCGCGTCCAACTGGCTCTGGAACTGCATCATCGCAGTCATCACCCCGTACATGACGGATGCTGACAAGGGTAACCTTGGCGCTAAGATTTTCTTCATTTGGGGCTCGCTCTGCGCCTGCGCCTTTGTCTACACCTACTTCCTCATCCCCGAGACCAAGGGTTTGACTCTTGAGCAGGTTGACAAGATGATGGAAGAGACCACTCCCCGCACTTCCGCCAAGTGGAAGCCTTCCACCACCTTTGCTGCCGAGGTTGGAATGGACGAGAAGACTGCTCATCTCCCCACCGTGACTCAGCATGAGGTCTAGTCCATGGGCCTCTAGCTCTGGTATGGTGGTTCGCTTGTTCTCTGCTCCCTTTACTTAGTTCTAGCCCACTCTCAGCGGGTCTTGATTCTATTTTTGCCTCTATCATGCGTCGACGGTTTCATGCGACATTGCCCCCGATATCCACGAATATGCATGTACCATAATCAATTTAATTACGAATGCTTTTGATAATATCTTCCTCTTAATTCTTGTAGGAAACCATTCAACTGTGTAGATGTGAAATAAAGATGAAGTCGTCAGACCGCATGCCTGCCAAGCAAACAGCCCTGGGGGTGTAACTGATGGAACATTCTCTCTCACATAAGGTTGAAACCCAGATTCACCACCTCTACGCCAATCATACCAACCACACCAACATTCGCCAACTTCTCAGACATCCTAAGATCTTCGGACAGCAAGCAATTGCCAAGCCTTTCTTGGGATTATGTCAGCACCTTGGCAAACCTTGGAAATCGGAGGTCCGAACATCATTTTGCAAGTGCTCAAGGACACAGAGTGAACGGGAAATGCACTCTTGATAAAGCAAAGTCTTTCATATGTGCCTCGTCTTGTATTAATGGGAATCTGAGGTTTCCCGATAATAATCCTCGGAGTGCAACATGTTTCATTGTTAATTGTTGACGCAAATACGCAGCCAAAGCTGTCGGGGCTCCATTCTCCGCTGACTGTTGTCAGGGGACGGGACCGCCAAGACCGAATACGTACACTACCACGCACGTTAGGACGACTCCCCCAAGCATCCCGTCTGGCCGTTACATCGCAGTTTTAATGTACTGGGCTTTAGGGGAAATTGATTGGCAGGGGATTACAGGGTCCTGTCTGTCACCCGGCGTTGAAGCTATCCGTGACGAGTCGGGAACGCATGCGCTACCCTGCCACGGCCTTGCGCGGTCACCGACGGAGGTGACTGCTCGCTTGTTATCTGGTGGTTATGTCTCTGTGTGTACAACGTAGGTGCTTCTATCACAACTACAGAGCCTGGGTGAATCAGTGATGGATTGAATTAAAGATGCCTCGTCATCTTGGTCGATCACTTGGTCCAGCCCACGCAGAGGAAGACTTGTTCTATTAAGATCATACTTTGGCCTCGTCCTTAATTCCCCGCATGGAAAATTGCGAAAACGCCAATGGCTCATTTGTCCTTAGCAGGACACTAGTGCCGGAATGATCGACAGTGGATTCATCAGAGACGGTTAGAGTTGCTGCTGAACCAAGCCTCTGCCTCTTTCACAACACCGATGTCCTATCAGCTGCAAGCAATTGCAGCCTTAGGATGCCGCGGCTTCATTGATGGATGGTTGTAGTTCCGCTGCGGGGGCTTGCAGTTACCAGTGAGCCTTTCTCGCTGAGAAATATTCCGTGTTTCATTTGTCAATGCAACTCCATATTCCTCGTCAGCTTCACGACAATGTCTTCCCAAGGGGACTATTCTGGATCGAGCCATGCTCCGCCTTGGGTATTATCTGAAGAGGCAGCAGGAAGGTATAAAACATCCTTAGAAACCCAGCTTTGGGATCCTCAACTTCCTCGTTCACATTCAGTCAGCCCTAACAACCTTGGTCTGAACTCCCTACTTTGAAGATTCTCCTTCTGCCCTCTTTGAAAGCCTGTGATTTGGTTGATACCTCGACCATGGTTTATCTCGCATCTGTTGTTGTCATCGGCCTGAGTGCTCTGGCTGGCATTGCGTCCGCTCATCCAGGGCATGATGTCAGAGCCGAAGCTGCTGAGCGGGCTGCATTCTTGCAAAGTGCCCCTGTTCACTCGCGCAGCCTTGCGCAATGTGCTTCTCGCCTTCAGCGTCGAGGTCATCAAAGCCGAAACGTTGCTCGTCGCCACATGGCCGTGAAGAACATACGTCGCCACCTTGGTCTTGAGCGTAGTATGTTTTGAAGTCAAGTCCAAATACTATCACATCCTAACAACCTGATAGCCAACCACTATCTCAAGGCGCGTAGCACTGACGCCCTGGATACTTCGCATCACTCCAACCTCACCGGAGTGGATTCCTCTACCGACCCCGATGTGTTGTTCGGCACCGATGCGACCTGCATTCTTGGACCTGAAGTCACTCAGGGACCTTACTGTTAGCTTCCCATCTCTGTTTCACGATTGGATTTACTGACGCGGCTTAGATGTCACGGGTGAACTGGTCCGTAAAAACATCGCGGAGTCCCAGGGTGGTGTTCCTCTCTACATGGACATCCAGCTGATCAACACCAACACCTGCGAGCCTATTCCAGAGATCTACATGGACTTGTGGCACTGCAACTCGACCGTAAGTAAATTCTCCAGTCCAGATCTCACTCTATCACAATGCGGACCGTTCCACTCACGTCGATCATTATAGGGTGTCTATTCTGGAATCGTCGCCAGTGGAAACGGCAACTCTGGCGATAACACAAACCTCAACAAGACCTTCAACCGAGGTGTCCAGAAGAGTAACGAGGATGGTGTCGTCCAGTTCCAATCAACCTTCCCGGGCCATTACACTGGCCGCGCAACTCACATCCATGGTATGATACCCAGCTACGAGAACCTCCCTTCATGGTTATGTCTTCTTTTCTCCGCAATTTTCTTGTTTGTACAAATTAACTTTGCCACATGTTATCAGGTGAAATATGTTGCAATATTCACTAACTTCATCGATAGTCCTCACCCACCCAGCCAATGAGACCAAGGTTCTCGCAAACGGAACCATCTCTGGTCTATATACCACGCACTCGTCGCACGTTGGACAGATTTTCTTCGACCAGGATCTGATTTCCGCCGTTGAGGAGGTCGCCCCGTATTCAACCAACACTCAGAGTGTGACAGCCAACGCCGATGACAGCATTCTCGGCGAAGAGCTCGATACCATCGACCCATTCATGGAATACGTCTACCTGGGCGATGATGTCTCTGATGGAATCTTCGCTTGGATATCGGTTGGTCTCGACCCTACCCAGGACACAACTGTTACCCCTGCAGCCTACTACACCGAGGAGGGTGGTGTTGAGAATGAGAATTCCGGTGCTCCTGGTGGCGGTGGCCCTGGCGGTGGTCCCTCAGGCAGTTTCCCAACTGCCTCGGCCACGGCTCGGTCTGTCTAGATGAGGCGGTGTGTGCTTGTCTCTCGATTGCAGTAAATGGGTAGGTCACATGGATTTTTAATTCCTTGTCCTCCACTAGCTGTTTATCTTCGATGTTGCAAGGGTTGAAAGTGTTTTCGATGGGTTATGCCTCGCTCTTCGCACCAAGCTTGCAGTTATAGTTTTATGGATTTTTTGAAAGGACGCTACTCAGATTTCAATCCCTGTCAACCATAACTGTTTTGCGATAAAATAATTCCGAGAGAAACTCGTCTTCATAATTGGGACTCGCTCCTTGATTATTTAGACTGGTCTGTTTCTGTATGGCACTGCACAAGAGAGATTATTTGGTTGAGTACCTAGTAGTATATAGTGACTCGTTCGAATCAAATGCTCCAAGGCTTTTTATAAGCAATTTACTAAACAGTTTGCAAGAATGAAAATCTGATGGCTGGAGCCGAAATCTAACCCAAGAGTATAATGCCTATGCAAACCCATCCAATATGTTTTTCCAGGCGTGCTCTCTATCTATGATAATTTTGCTAACCATTTTACTTGGTGCAAGAGACAAGAGACTACTAGCACAGTGCGGTAACCTCTTTGATAGCTACTACTACATTGGAAAATACACGGCCATATTGCAGCACTAGGCACTATTCATGCGGATGGTACATATATTCATTCCATCAACGACCTCGCGTCCGTCGTGTCGGGCGAGGTGCGTATTCAGGTTCTGAGTCTTCACCCTTGCCATTATCCACCTCGTTATCTGAATCCGAGGAGATAGACATAGGCGGGGAGTCTGTAGGACATCCAGATTCGAATGGCTTGCTGTCATCGGCGTCATCGACATCAGTCTGAGACGGACCTGCATGACTCCGCTGCTGATCATGATTCTCGACCACCAACCCATCGTCCGCATCATCTTCATGACCAGGAAGAAGAAAGCCACCACCATGATCAAACGCGTTGTATGACGGCTCCAGATCAGGCATTTCTTTATCAGCCCCATCATCATTTGATTCCTCCTCCTGCTTTTTCTTCTGTACAGCAAAAGGGTTATGCGATTCGCGCTCCCGATCAGCATCCGGATCTCCACCCCCATACTCATCCCTCACTCGCTCCATAATCCGTAACCCAAATAAAAACTTCCTCCACGTCTGTAGAATCTTCTTCTCAGCCTTAAGCTCCTCCCTCTTCCTCTTCTCCGCGGCCTCAACTCTCCAAGCATCCCTAAGCAACCCCTCATTCTCAGCCGCAACAACAACACCTTGAATAACCGGCACAGCCATCTTCGATCCAAACTCGAATCCCGTCACTGCCTCCGCATAGTCGATGCCAAGCTTCTTACACACCCGCACGGTACCAGGTAAGGGGACATGTACCGCGCCCGCAGGGACCATACTCGGCACGAAACAGTCGATATTACCATATTCATTCTTGGGGATACGGCCGTCCTGAATAGGCGGCGGGACGATGTACTCTGTCTGGTCGCGCGCGTACAGTCCCTGTAGTGGTTTTTCGCCGGTCTGGCGGTGCATTTCATCGACTTCACGTTTGCGTATGAGGGTCACGGCACGAATAGGCACACGCTTGAGGGCTACCGCGCCCGGTTTCGTCTGGCGACCTTCTTTGTGCCAGCTTTCGGCGGAGAGGCATTTTAGCACGTCTGCTCGTCGGAAGACGGGTTCTTCTTTGGCTCGGGCGCCTTTTCCGGCGATGAAGGTTCGTACGGGCTCGGCGCCGGGCCGGAGGGCTTCCTCGCGGCGGAGGAAGCGCTCTAGGACAAACTCGGTGGAAGTTCGGAGGCTTTGGAGAGTGTCGACGGTTTGGGTTGTTTTTTTCTTTTCGGGTTGGTTGGGTTGTAGATCTCGCGTTTCCTCAAGTTTGTCGACTGCTGTTTTGCATTTGCGGGCTCGCTGGTACCCACGCATTACCATCCCAAACCAGTCGAAGGCGATGTAGTTCCCGCGTGGACCTACGGGTACTTTTTCCAAGGGCATTCGGAAGCCCTTCGTTTTGCCGGGCCAGGTCCGCCGTCGAAGATATCTTGTTGTGACCTCTTTAGCAGTGCCATCCGATGAGTGGGCAACCACGTAGCATATGACTTGTTTGGCACGGTCTGCTTTTGCACCACGAGGCTCGAAGTTTGCTTGTAGATCTGTATCTGCAAATGGCGCCACGGGATTGGAAAGTACAAGTGGGTCGACAGATATGATCTCATTCGTAACCGGTGAAGCAACTTCGGTCCAGTAGATAGGAAACGGCAGATCACTGTCGAAATCTTTGCGCTTATTCTTCACTGGGAGTTTATTTTCAGTTACGTCAGTATCGGGCTCGGATCCTTGCGATTCCCCTTCTTTTTCAGGGTCCTTAGAGGGCGTGACAGGTGTGTAGGTCTCTCCCTTGGTCCAACCAAAGCCCAGCGGCTGTAAACTACCCACAAGTCTGGCCTCGATGCCTAAAGCGCGGACGAGAGCTGTGAAGAGCTGTGCGCCGACGTCCCGTGAGCCCTGCATACGCTCGGCGGTCGCGCGGAACTCGTCGAGGTTGGCGATACGCTCACCATGGCGCTCTGAATCATGTTCTTCCTCGCGAAAATCGGTGATTGCAGCTTCCAGAGCAGATACCGGCCGGTATCCATTCTTTCGCAGTCCTGGGGCCGTGATGTGAAACTGCTTCCTCCAGTATGCGACCAGCACCTTTATCAATGTAATGATTGGATCGCCACGGCTCATATCCGGCTGGCCTGGTTCCAGTCGCTCCGACTCATCACTCCAGTCTTTATTTTTCTGGGCCTTCTTGCCCTTCTTCTTAATCTTGGGCGGTTCAGGTTTTGCTTCTGGAAGTTCTAGGCCCGATGCGATGCGCCATTTCTTGACTTCCTTGTGGATCCCTTCCGGTAGCTTTTTGCGCAGGATCTCATGGACCTTGGAATCGTTGCTCCAGGCATTGCGAATGGCGTTGTGGAAAAGCAAGCATTGGACATGCATACAGTGTGTCTGGATCCGGATTTGACGCTCAATTTTACTAGGCCCTTTCTTACCATCCAGAAGATCGGAGACGTGTGTCTCATTTTGATCCAGGGTCAATTCTAGGTCCTGTAACTCAGGAGCTGCGACAGTAGGTGTAGTGGCGGTGGTCTTTGTGTCTATCGCGTCCTCCCAATCGATATCATCTTCTTCATCTTCGGATTCCTCGGATTCATTGCCCTGGAGATCTTCGGGTGCGTCGCTCAAAGATGAGTTGGAATCGGAGTCGGAGAGGTGGAACGGAGCACGGGGAGCTTGGGGAGCTTGAGAATTATCGGGCCGGGCCTGGCGCTTGGCCGGGGGCGGGTCCTCGGAGGATACGCGCTTGCGGGGGACGAAGGGTGGCATGCGAAATGAATGTGATGTGAAGTAATAATGAAGGGTCGCCGAATGTCGGGGGAAGATGAAGGGGAGAGTCGGCCGAGGCTGCGCTTTATTTTACTTTTCTTGCGCAACTTGACAACTTTACAACTTTTTGCCATTATTTACATCTAGTACAACCCTTCTTAAATTATTCAATCTTTGAAAACAAATATCAAATTATCCCAAATGGCAGCAGTCAAGCGATTCTTCTCTTCCCCTCGCTTTGCGGTGGCGGGTGCTAGCAATGACACTCATAAGTTCGGATACAAGAGTAAGGGAACACCTCTATGGGCATTTGTATAGAGAACTAATTCATTGCAGTCCTCGCCTGGTATCATCAACACTCCCTACCGGTGACACCGCTCAATCCCCGAGCAGCGCAGATCACCCTCCCCTCGCGTGCTTACGATACTGTCCCCTCGCCGGCCAGTTTGCCATCGCCGGCACAAACTTCCCTGTCAGTTGTAACTCCTCCAGCTGTGACCCTCAAGGTGCTGCAGGAAGCGCACTCGGTAGGGATCCCTGCAGTCTGGTTACAACCTGGCACCTTTGACAATCAAGTGCTCGAGTACGCTCACAGTCACTTTGAGGCGGTGATCGCGGGAGATGGAGGACAAGGTAGCGAGGGATGGTGTGTGTTAGTTGATGGTGATGAAGGATTAGAGGCAGCTGGAGTACAATGGACTAGCCAAAGATTGTAATTCCAGGATTACTCGGTATATATATCATGAAAATGTCATGTAGGGGGTTTAAATAGTGTGAGACAAAGAGGAACACTAATCCCGAGACGGTATCCAACCTCTCTCTTTTTTCCTTCCTTTTTTCTTCAGTTCTCTTTTTTTTTCTCCGATTTTGATCTTTTGATCTCTGATCTTTGTCTTTTATCTTTGTTTCTAAAATGCCCGACATGCACGCCTTCTTCAACTCTGCTTCACCACCTACACTCGACCTCTCAAATGCGCCCTCTCAGCTATTCCAAGTACCAGCCTCCACGGCTTCCACGTCGCTTTATTCTCTTTCAGTCAGTCGCAAGCGACCACGTCGTAACACAGAGAAACTTTCGTCGCATTTTGAGTCCAATTTCACCGGGTCTCCGATGATCCACTCCAACTACCGCTCAGTAAGCGTAAGTGGAGGCAACGATTTCCATGCTTCTGCCGAGCTAGATTACCGTCCGAACCGATACCGCGAATCCTTCCTCCCACCCTCCTTCGATTCCAGCGACGAGTCAACAAACCTAGCAGACTACGACGGCAGTCGCAAGCGCAGCCGCCGCGACTCTTGCATCTTATCTGCAAGCCCCGATAGCCCCAATACCACAACTTCCACAGGCTGGGGCCAGACCGTGATCAAAGCGGTTAGCAAAGTCCTCGATTTATGCTGGGCTGGCGCGTTCCGAGGGTTCTACGCAGGAGGAGGACAGGGCTATGACATGTCATCCGGACCAGCAACAACTCTCGAATCCAGCTGGCAGCCTTCAACTAGCCCATCTACCGAGAAAGACATGTACAGCCCGAACACATTCTGCTCGACGCCCGTACCCGGCCAATATCCAGACGAAGACGTTGACCGAAGCTGGGTCGTGGTACCTGAGAGCTCGGATCCATTCGTGGGCAGCAGTGAGCTTCCCAGCCCGTCACTCCGCGCTCGACGCACTTTCCAGGCATCGAGTCCTCGCCGCAAATCCGCTGTGATGCCCCGACTCGCTAAGCGAGTCACTTATTCTTCTAGCGGACCCCACTCGCCTACTAAGGGACTGGCGGGCCTTCCATCCCCCCGGTTGAGGGATGCTCCTGCGTCTGCTGATATCCAGCGACAGGCTGCTAAGATGCGCCGAAAGGAACGAGAAGAAGATGCCAGTATCCAGCGATTGAATAAGCAGTTGCAGGCGATGATCCGGGAAGGTAAGGAGGCGTTGGGCACGACGGTGGTAGTGGACGATGTGGACATGTATGACTCTGATTAGGCTGGTCTTTACCTTTCGGAGCATCTTCCATCTCGAGTGGTATGGCTGTATTTGTTTTCATCGCGTGTAACGACCTGATACCCCCAAGGGCGCTCTTTAACTGGGTGGTCCGGACCGGAAAAGCCGGTTTTGATTTGACTACGACTTACGATTTCTATGTTTTGGTTTTTTGCGTGCGCTCCTTGCAGCTTCGTCTGCCTGTCTCATTACATAGCAGGATTTTCCTGCGGGTTTCTGTGTCCAAACTTCAAAATTGCCTGTGATTTATGCACTGAAGCTTCGGTTTATCATTGAATCAAGGAAAGCATTTGACATGCTTCGAATAATAAGTAACAACTCAACAGCTGGACAGCATAGCCGATTGCACATCCACAAATTTTGGTCGGCTAGTCAAACTAATTTCATAAAATCCTCATCCCATGTTCTCGAGTGATAGATGGAAATAACAACGCAACTAGCTACATCTAGGTTAGATTATCACTAGCAGCTCATTCCTTCATAGATACTTTACTTGAACAAATAATACACAAGGCGGCCAATTGGCCTAGTGGTAAGGCATCCGTTTCCGGTGCGGGAGATCGTAGGTTCGAATCCTGCATTGGTCGTTATCTTTTTGTTTTTGTCATCTTATAATGAATAAGAGAGCAGCGAGGTATTCATTCTTATTTGCTTCGTGTTCTCTTTTATCTATCTACTTACTACCTATGTATTGTTATGTACTACATACAACATACTTGGCTTGGGTCTGGTCCATATACATGTATTTAGGAGCATCATGCATGAGATGCATACTTAACTACATATGTACCGGATAATGCCTGGCACTCGAGACCTTTCCCTTTCCGTATTAGTGCTCACCTCTTGCCGCTTTTTGATCACTGAGTAAAACTGAGCACGTCCCTGAGTACCCTGACTTGATCACGGATCATTACATAATCAGCGTGATCTGCTCACTGAGCATCCCCTGAGCACCCTGATCCACTCACTGATCACCATCTGAGCACTCTGATTTGCTCACTGAGTGCTCACTGAGTGTAGGGATGAGCGGCCTGAGTAAACTACATCAATAAAATGCGACACGCTAATCCCATCACGTGCAACACTTGCCATTTAGATCGCCCATCAAAAAAGGACGGGCGCAGTCAACGTTGGCCGTTCGTCCTAGCGGTCTCGATCCTATCCAAGTAAAAAATCTCACAGTGGGGCTATTCAATTGACCCACCATTTTACCATTTTAGCCTATGCTCCTAGGAATACCCCTCGGAATACTTCGCTTACCAGCCCGGCGATCCCCTAATCGGGCTTTGGATTACTACTAGGGCGAGGGCGATTGGATGGGTTTCCTTGAAGATCTAGAACCCTTCTCTGTATTAAGGCAACTAATTGGAGGTTCCGCAGATGACAACGATGAACCGATGAACCACTTCTCTCGCCAATGAGCGCACAAGCCGAAGGCTTTCCTGAGCGTATAACGTCATGTCTTCACTATTGCTAAATAGTTTGTAAGCCGAAGACAAGCCACCAATGGTAATATCCCGATGAGCTCCTAGGAGCCCGCGGCGCCTTCCCAGGAGCCTACTAAGCATTACCAGAGTCCTAAACTTCGAGCCAAACTTAAATCGAAATCCTAGGAGCTCGAAACATTGAACCCCCCTTTCTTCCCCCCAGCGTTTCTACCCAAAGTGATGCCATCGCAAAAGGGATATATAGTTAGTCACCCCCTCCGTAAACAATGGTCTTCATCATTGCTCTACCACCATACTAAGAAGCTAAACACAAACTACTTTTAAATATACCATAGTAAGTTCAGCCTTCATCTACTCCTTATACTGCATCAACTAACCGTACTCCATATTGGCATTTCTTTTGCTCACGATAGTAGAAACAATCGGTCCAAGCCGCAAAAGCTGCGCAGCAGAGCATCTGTGCCCTCCTGGAAACCCTCAAAGCTACCAAAAGTACAGCCGAGGCTTTAACAGGACTGTGCCATCGATTGTCTTCCGTTCAAATTGCTTTAGTTAGATCACCATCAGCATTGGGTCAGTCAGAACCTAACAGGCTAGGTTGGAAATCTGGAGCAACGGAGATGCATGCGTTTGATTCCAGGACTCTCAAAAATATATTAAACACTCAGCCAACAATATGCACGAAACGGACTGATATCGTCTTGATTTCTTCGGGGGCATAGAAGTGCGAATATTGACAGCACAACTGCACACTTTTGACAATGTCATACATACGAGATGGAAAAATCTGTGTCGTATGTCAAGTTCAAAGCTCTTGGCATTGATACGATCGGTTGACAGATTCTCTACACTAGACTCACTGTGTTTCTCTCTCAAAAAGCATCCCCGATGAAGAGAGAAGCGCAGTCTTGGCCATGGAAAACGAAATACTGTTGGCAGTTGTTGCGATTCAGGACAGGCGACTGGCACTCCAGTGCATCACTTATGAGATCGAACGGCATGCTAGAGGAATAAAACAATCTCGAAATGATTTAGAGCGATTTTTTTCTAATGTCCGTTGGCTATGGAGTGGACAAAAATCGAATGCAGGGGCGATTGTCGGCTTCTAGATATCGGTCCTCTTTCCAAAGATTCTCAGTTTACCCGGCGAGTCAACGTTACTTTCATAGGTAAACATTCCCAAGGCATCATGGATAAGTATCAATAAAAGAAGCCCCCAAGTGCTAATTGAGCAACACCCTCTGATATGGCTAAAAATTGCCTCAGCAAGGCACTCAATGTGGAATGATATCTTTCGCAGTTATCTCAGTCCCAAGCTGTCCTCAATGACTAACTCAGACTGTTCTCAAGCTTCCAAACCGTCAGTATTCCAATTTTGTTTCTAATTAACTATTTCCCAAAGAAAAAAAAGCTTAATGTGAAGTTATTATGCAGATCCTCCCGAAGCCGCAGAGGAAAATGACAGATGAAAGCTTGCTTATAATGGCGAAGTTATCCCAAAGCCAGACTTGGAAGCAGACGCCTTCAACATGGGAAAAATCCAAGATAAGGGAGGCGATTGTTTGCTATAGCGTGAGCAGTTGACAGCTTCGAAATCCGGCACTGCTGAATGCCACTGAAATAAAGACTGTTGGTAATACCGTAAGAAACATTATACGCTACTGATTGTTAGGACGTGTCTTGCATATGCCTAATGCTTGAGCTCTGAATTCACGACCAATACCCTCCCGATGCCCCCCGATCGACCTCATATCGCGACGCACTCGCGAATCACGTGACACCACAGTCCCCACAGGTCTCTGGATGGATGAACAGAACGCAGACCAATGGGACTTCAGTCCCGAGTAATGACCTCAGCAGTAGCAGCAGTGCACCTGCCCAAGTGATGATGCGCGAGACCCTTCAGCTAACCGTCCGCGGCACTGACCGTGCCATCGTTGACCCTCTTCGCAGGAGAGAGGATGAGCTGGTCAAACGGCTGAACAGATCCATCAATGACGTAGCTAGGGAGCTAGAGAATGCTGAGCCTAGCACGAGACTTCTAGACCGAGTCGTTTCCGCAGCACGAGTTCTGCCTAGCGGCGACATCCTCATCCAGGTAGATGATATCAAAGACTACGAAGACCTCATCAAGGCTGCCCCCGCCGGATTTTCCGACACCTGGTGCCAGGTGCTCGGCGAGAACGCGGGACTGAAAAGACAAACCTACGCCGTGGTGGTCCACGGCGTGACTTGTCGATTCTCTCCCTCCGCCACAGACGCGAGGAGGCAGCTGAAAGCCGAGAACGTCAAACGAATATCTACTGCTGCCGAGATCGTATACATGGACTGGCTGATGACCAAGAGGAAAATGGAAGAAACGAGGCCAGAGTCCACGAAGCTCCTGATCGAGTTCGCCGACCCATACGCTGCCAACCAGGCCATTTTACGTGGTCTGGCGATCTACGGAAGGAACCACGACTGCCAGTTCTTCGACGGCAGTCACCGCCTCCAGCAATGCTACCGCTGCCAGATGTACGGACACATAGCCCGAAATTGCAAGCGAGACGATCACTGCGCCTACTGCGCAGGGGATCATGATTCCAAGGAGTGCCCATATGCGCACGACCGCCGCAAGGCCAAGTGCGCTGAGTGTGTCAGGCACAAGAAACCCGATCTCAGTCACTTTGCCTTTGATCGGGGATGCCCTATTCGGGGCGAAGAGCTGGCAAAGATCCAGCTCAACAGACGCCAGGGCCCGCAGCTACACCCGGAACGATATAGCGAGCCCGCCACGCCGCCATCCAGCGAAGAAGATCACCCTACACCCTACGAAACAGTCCAGGCGGATGCAAGGGCTGCTGAAGCCAGAGCTGCGAAGGCCGCGAAGAAGAAGTCATCAAGCCGCTCCCGCTCCCGGATGAAAAAGCGGCGCGTTGTCGAGTCTGGCGAGGACAGTCAAGAAGAGATAGAAGAGGACCTTCGCGCCCTATCAAGCTATGGCGCCCAACCAGTGGACTCCGTGAACGACGTCGTGGTCATCGACTCGCCCACAGAAACCGGCCATCTGGAGAGCCCTGCACATATAGAAATACAGCACCGAGGACGCAGTGAGAGCCATGACGAGCTTCAGGACGGAACTAGCGAGGAAGCTCCCCCCGCGCGCTCCACGCGTCGACAAACACGGAAGGCTCTCCTTGAAAGACCCACTCAATGTTAAAGTCCACACAGCTTCGAATACTACAGGCCAACACATGGAAGTCGAGAAACAAGGTCATGATGCACCTCTTCGGCGAAGAAGGAGTGCAGGAGATGGAGATCTTGGCAATCCAGGAGCCAGAGGTGTACAACCACACCAACCCCATGACGACGTATTCCCAGGCGTTGGGGGGACGCTTCCACGTCCTTCTCCGCCCGACGGAACAAATCCACGGAAGACAAACCGCGGCGAACGCCGCGAAACCGCGAGTCTGTTTCTATATCAATAAGAGAATCGACCCGAAATCATGGTCGATCTGCTACCACACGCGAGACGCAAGTACACTCACGGTTAAGACCAATAGTGGGGCAATACACGTACACAACGTATACGTGGAGAGCAAGGTCCGAGACGAGGGCGACGAAAGTCGGCAGGAACTACGCGCGGCGACCGCCAAAGCCACGCTCCAGGTAGTCAGAAGGTTGCTAAGGAATAGCGGCGCGGGCCAGCACGTGGTGGTAGGGGACTTTAACCTACACCATCCGCTCTGGTCGCAAACGACGCAATCACAACAGGAGGATCAAGATGCTGATGACCTAATCAGTATCATGGGTGACAGAGACATGCAACTGCTGACGCAAAGAGGCGCGGTTACATACGAGGGCCTGGTGTACGGTAACCATGTTGAGACCACACTGGACCTGACATGGGCGTCGAGATCCCTTGCCGAGCGATGTACACGGTGCACCACCCAAAGGCAGTGGCTATATGCAGCCGACCATGTGCCAGTCGTGACCGAATTCGACATCCAATGCACCGAAACCCCCTGCCGGACGATCACGAACTGGAAGGAGGCTGATTGGGATGAGTGGTTGAAAGTGCTCAGATCCAAGACGTGGTCCCGCCGTCCCCTCCGCAGCACCGACGAAGTTGACCGGGCAGTCGAAGAACTCATCTCCGCAATGATGGATGCCACCCACAGCACGGTCCCGACAAAAAGAGTCGGGCCACACTCCTTTCCCACGTACACGAAGAAGCTGGAAGATCTAAGACGCCAGGTCAAACGTGCACGACGATGGGCAAGAGAGACCGGAAGCGATGAGGACCAGGAGCGGTTCCGACAGATGCGCCATGAACTTGGCCGCCAGAGTGCGAAGGTCGCCAATGAAGCACATCGGGAACGAGTAGAAGCAGCGACCAAGTCAATCGACGACTTCTGGAAGCTATCGAGATGGGCCAGGAATACTACCCCGCGGGCGACCCACACTCCGACATTACGTGAAGGGGACAGGGAGTACGTGACGGCAGAAGGCAAGGCGGACATCCTCCGCAAGGTCCTTTTCCCTCCTGCACCCACTGCGGACTTATCAGACCTCGAGGGGTACGACTATCCTGTTGCAGTCAATGCGCCACTAATCACCTCCGAAGAAGTCATGCACGCTATACAGAGATCTGCATCGTACAAGGCCCCGGGGCCAGACGGGATCCCGAATGCCGCACTGAAGAAGGCCATCGAGATACCAAGCCTCCTCACGTTTCTGACACATCTGTTCAACGAATGTTTGCGGCTAGGGTACTGCCCTAATCACTTCCGCGAGTCCACTACCGTCATTCTCAGAAAGCCTGGGAAACCGGATTATACCATACCAAAGGCCTACAGACCGATCACCCTACTGAGCACCCTGGGGAAAGCGCCCGAGTCAGTACTCGCTACCCGACTCAGCTACCTAGTCGAGGCCCACGCACTTCTACCGGAGACTCACATCGGGGGAAGAGTCGGAAGGTCATGCGATCATGCCCTCCACCTCCTCTTAGAGCGAGTGTACGAGTCCTGGAGGCAGGATGCACACGTCGCTACCCTGCTAACACTTGACGTGACCGGCGCGTTCGATCATGTGGCACATGAGAGATTGGCCCACTGCCTAAGGAAACGAAGGATACCGGAGCAAATGGTCCGGTGGATCCTCAGCTTCCTGAGAGACCGCGCAACAACGCTGGTTCTACAAGAAGGCTCGATGGGCACAAACCCGGTGGCCACAGGCATCCTGCAGGGCTCACCGCTATCACCGGTCCTCTACCTCTTCTACAATGCAGACCTCATTGACGAGCTTCACGACGCCGCAGCCGGACAAGCTCTTGTTACCGGGTACATCGATGATATCTGTATCCTGGTATGGAGTAAATCCGCGCTAGACAACTGCCAGCTCCTGGAGAGACTGCATCAAGTCGCAGATGACTGGGCCAGTCGCCATGCATCACGCTTCGCACCCGCCAAATATGGACTGATACACATGTGGAAGAAAGGCTGGAGAGCTCGAAGAATAGATCGACCGCCGTCGGGCGAGAGCATCACCCTTCAAGGCGTTGAAGTCCGCCCCACCTCGTCCCTCAAATACCTCGGCGTCATGCTAGATGAGCACCTCACGGGAGAAAGCCAAATCGCGCAGTGTCGCAAGAAGGCCGCACAATTGATTGCCGCGCTACGATCAATCGCGGGGATGACGTGGGGCGTCTCGACCCTACACCTCCGCCGCATGTGGACGGCAGTCCTACTCCCTCAGATCTCATTCGCCTGCTCCAAGTGGTATACACAAGGAGCATACGGCTCTAAATCTTTCGAGGATCGAGCGAACAGCGCCTTTCGGTCGATGCAACGGCAGGTTCTCCAGTATATCGCAGGGGCTTTCAGGACAACTGCCGGGCCCGCTCTGGAGGTATGTCTCTTCGTCCCACCAGCACCAATCGCCATACAACGCCTCGCGGAAGAGGCCTGTCTTCGCATACATACATCACCCCTTAGGTCCACACTCGCTAGACGAAGCGACGAAGGACGACGATACGGACTGATATCGCCGCTCAAACGACTGGAGACACATCTCAAGTTCAAAGGAATTGAAGTCCACAGGTTGGAACTGATCCGGCCGTTTGCGGTCCCCCCTTGGTGGCAACCACCAGAGACCCGGATAGCACCGGACAAGGACACCGCCATCAAAGAACATGATCTGATTCTCCGGGCGACGCCTCTCTACGGGCCGAACTCGGCGATCGCCTACACAGACGGGAGCAAAACAGAGGGTGGGGGCGTCGGTGCCTCGGCGGTCACATCCAAAGGGAACGCAACCGCCAGGCTCGACGACCAGGATACGGTTTACGCAGCCGAACTGAAGGGAATCCTTTTTGCACTCTGCCAAATTAAAGATGACCTGGTGAGGGAACTCGTCGCTACCTCGAGAGCCCCCACCCGCACAATGACCATTTTCACGGACAACCAGGCCGCCATCCAGGCGTGTGCCCAGCCGCGACGCAGCTCCGGGCAGCAGATTCTCCGCAACATCGCCATCCAAATAGAAAACCTACGGCTAGCGGCCTGGCGCATCCGTATCCACTGGACCCCCGGTCATATGGGAGTACATGGAAACGAGCGTGCTGACGGTCTAGCAAAGCTCGCAGCAAAAACATACGGGCCCGCCGAAGCGGTCATCCTCCTTTCCGGCTGTCGCACTAAGCTCCGCGAACACGCTGCGAAGCGGTGGAAGGAGGAGTGGGCGTCAAGCAACAGCGGCGCTCACCTCCGCGCACTTTTCCCTGAACCGACGAAAGCGATCTTCGCGATACATGAGTCTCTGAGACGCGCAGCCAGCTCAGTGCTGGTGCAGATGCAGACCGGTAAGATTGGTCTCCCCGCTTACCTCGCTACTCTCCCGCAGTGGAGGGAACAGGCCCTCGAAGATAACCCACTACGCAACCCATCGCGTTGCACATGTGACCAAGGCACCATGAACACGCACCACATCCTCTTCTCCTGTCCCCATTTCACCGAACTCCGTCACCGAACCCTCGGGCTTGCCCGAGGAGGTGGGAGCGAGGGTGGCCCCGATATGTGGAAAGAATGGCTCTCGAAGCCATCATTAGCAGTCAGAGCAGTCAGCTTTATGATGCAAACTAGGCTCCTCGGCCAATTCAGGAGCCTACCGACCACCTACCGAGTCACTAACAAAGTAGACTCGTGACCCTGGGATTTTAGATCCTCTCGCTTGCCCCATTTCGGGTCCCCAGAACTACAGTGAGTACCCCCCTGCGTCACTGATCACCTTCACGGCTTGCCGTGTGAGTTGCTGGACAGTACGGGCCTCGGTCCCGCAGGGATGAAAGCGATCGACTGAAGACGGGGATGGCGTTTGCCCTGTTTCCTTGGAGAGTGTACGCCTTCTGTACGCCGCTGGACTGTTCACGGCTCTGCCAAGCCTGAGCAGCCCTGGTGAATTATGGGTTGCCATGACCCAGGTAGGTGAAATCCGTAACAAAGGGGCGTTGAAGGGGATCGTCGGAAACAACGGAGTAAACAGCCATCGTCATGTGATATAGTTGTCCCGGCTATCACGTAGTGCCCTGCCGGCAAATCGGGCTTCACCGCCTGACAGATCCGCGAATGAAATTTACTTACTTACTTACTTACTTACTGTATTATTCAATCCTGACTTATAGGCGTCCGTTTGCCATATGGCCTTAACCTGTCGGAACAAACTTTCTCTTACCTTGGGATATTGCTAGTCCCCAGCAAGAATTTGGGTGGGGTATGGAAGATGCATCTGATGAGGCAAAGACACGGTAGGTAGCCTGATTCTTAATCGACTTGGTTTGAGACGACAACAAAAGGCCCCCCTCTCCGGCTGCTGGTCAGCCTACCAGCTTCGTATGGAATCCCAACACCAGCCCGTTGGATACTCAAGCAGTTTGTCGCCGATATTTCAATAATATGCCCTGGCATGTCAGGTTGGTGCTGGTTGGAGTATATACAGTGACACAGCAAAAGTCTTAACACCCCAAGTTCTGCTGGCTAAATATTCACCAATCAAAAATGAAGGGCTTTGAGTTAGTTAACCTAAATTAATAAAAAGGGGCGGGTGTTTATATCGTTAGCATGGTATTAATAACTAAGGTATAAGCTTAGGCCGATCCGCTTACAACTACCCTATAATCCGGTATAATTTTGCGCTCTAAGAGCCAAGATAAACGCAAAGGAGTTATAAACCGGCTGGTCCATTATAAGGGGATCATAAGTTTAAAAGTGCTAGATCGTCTTTTATCATCCCTTATAGTATAACGAATAGTTGTATTCGAGTCTAATAGGTGCCGGAACTAGACTTATAAGAGAGTAGAAACAAATACCAGAAATATATATCGGGCATCTTAGTCGCTATACCGGTTCCGCTACAGTTTTACTATTGCTCGAGTAGTTTTGTCTAGCATAGAACCAGGAGAATTATATCCTACTACGAAGGGAAAATCTCAATCTTAGCTATAGAGACAGAGTGGACTAGACCATATTAGCTACCCCACTAGTCTAGGCTTTTATATAGCTTACAATAGGCAATACGAGGATACTAATAAACCGGAAATTATAGTCTAGTAGTAATCCCCGTAAATTCCTAGTCTAATACTAGGGTTTCTATACTATAAGTCATAGCAGTGTGTTAATTATATTTAATAGAGCGAATCGGATAATATCCGCGTTAACACTAAGATAGAACGCCACGACTAAAATAGTGGAAGAGCGGTGTCTACATCCACCTAGGTCCAGACCTTTCTACTCGATTAAATAGAAGGAAAATTAGATATACTATGCTTTACCAATCTATATAAGACGGCAGGGCTCCCAGGCCAGCTAATACTATATCCTCTCTTTAAGTCACTATTATTTTTCCTTAACCACCTCGGCCATAGCATCCTCCTTCAATAACTCCACTATAGAGCCCATCCTACTAAGGCTCCAGGATATCAATATCCCTATATCTATTCTCTAAGAAAAGAATCCCGAGACTAACCGCTTTACAGCTAGCGTTATCGCTTTCCGCTAAAATTCAGAAACCCCGTCCTAGCCTAAGGTTCTACTAATCCAGCGTAGATATAAGGGCTCCTAGGGCGGAAGCTAGGAGGTACCTAGGGGAGGGTACGAAACTAGCAAAGACGTCTCCATCTTACAGACTGCTCTACGTGAGACCAAGGAGGAGGCCAGCTTAGAAATATTGTCCAACTTCATCTTCCCGCTTATGTATAGGACCACTTTCTAGCACAAAGAGTCATAAATAGCTAGTTATACATTTATCGTGGAGCTTTCTAAAGAAGTTCCGATCGTTTTATCGGATGAATATCTAGATTAGGGCTTTTTTAATGAAAAAGAGATCTATCTTTTTAGCCCATACGAGAAGGGGAAAGCCCAATCTTGGTATAATAGTATATTATAGTAGAGTATAATGGTGTGAAGGATATCATATATAAATTACTGGTAACTATTACTATATCTAAGGATATACTAATAGTGGTAAACTATATTATGATTCACTTCTAAATCGCCATAAATCGTGAGATAATATGATATCTTATATTATCTTATATTTGCCTCCTAAAATGTCTATAAAAAGGGTGACAGTCTACTCTCTAATAGAATAATAATATTCTCATCCATATACATATATCTTTATCTCCTATTTAGGATAAGTATAACCTTCAATACTATATCTTATATAATCATATTATATAAGATATTACTTCCTCTATAAAATATTATAACCTACTATTAGGCTATAATATTCTATCTGCTAAACTACTCACAAATACTTTTCAAGTACGGACTTGAAAAGAAAAAATATTGCTGTTCAAGCCGATTTTCAACATCACTATCTTCATTTTTTTTGTATTTTTTGAGTTTTTTGGCAACTTCCTCCACATAGCTCAACCCCCATTCCCATATCATCTCACAGAGCAACCACAACCACCTCAGACTTCCATAGCTTCCCCTACATCCCACACAAAACCCTTATTTGAAGCTGTTGTTCCCACCCGAAGCGCAAGGGCTAAAAGAAAGGCGCGGGCCACAGTATGCATTGGCGTCATACCACTCTTCCTTCCCAAACTTTAGGTAGCCCTCCCAGGTACCTCCATGGTCCATCGATAAGCACTGTGTGCCGCAGATTTTGTTCTTCTCAACGCTCGCTAGAAAGTGGTAGAGGGCGCCATGGATAGTATCCTGCTGAGCGGTCGTGTCGCAGTTTCGCCCAGTAGCGTAGTATTCATACTTCCAGCCATCGAGGGTGCCTTTAACCTTGCTGCAGCTCTTCTTCTTGCTCTGTCCCCAGACTACGCCCGCAATTCCAGCCGAAATTGTGTACGCAAACTGGGCAATAGTTGCACATTGCGCCATTTTGGAGAGGCCACTCTCACAGACCTTGATTGGCTCACGGACAACCAGCGTTTTGGTGGTATTCACATCAGGGAAAGCTGCTTCAAGGGCGGCGGAGATGAGCTCTTCGCTCCCGTCGAAGTGGATGGCATACCATCCATCAGGCAGTAGCTGGCCTTCGATTGGTTGGCCAAGCGTAGATGAAGGTGGGGTAGAGGGTTGAGCAGATGTGAGTCCATAGAATATGTTTAACGTCAGGATCGACACCGTTGGAAACCGCATAGAGCCAGCAGAGGGAGGAGAAAAGTATGCCAAAGATAGAAAGGCGAGCAACGATTGTGCTAGTGTCCATTCGATGAATTTTTAATGGAAGGTTTAATGGAAGGATGTGAACGAGTAGAGCAGACAAGAAGTAATAGAGGGAGATGCCACCCTTTATAGGTCCTGGCGGTAAAATATCAGGGGACTGGTGCTGTTTACCCGAAGTCTCAGTTGTGAGAGTGGAGTGTAGAAGTCGCACACCCTGTTTAATTCCACATGTCTTATGAAGGCTCACTGGCCCTCGATAGTTCCCATGCAGGTCGCTTTAGTCGGCCGACGACGGTCTAAACACATGGCTAGTACATGAACCCACTTCTACTAGGCAATTGCTTGCCCCCAAACAGTGAGTCAAATTGTATGAAGGTACGACCGAAGCTAGATATTCCTATTTGTGGCTGCTTAGAGCCACTTGTACGGAAAAAGGTCTGCAAGAAATTTTGTTGCGTATAACCTCAATCAAATGCTCCCACTGCCACAATTAGTCTGTCATTCTAATATCATTATCTTCTGGTCGGAATGTCGGGCCGCGCCCAATATTGGATCCACCGTACAGAGGGGCTCTAACATCCAGCCGAGGTTACATCGATAAGCGCTACCTAGGTGTCACCAGACAGTCTCATTGGTTGAAGACGATCGCTTAAATTTGCTTGGCCATAGCCCCCCGCACCTTTTACCCGATTAGATCATTCCTTGGAAGATATCTATAAGCCTATGGAGACGTGTCCTGACCGTTGGCCTGCTGTTTGATCACCAGGCATTGGCGTGTAATTAATCCCTTAATATCGAGATGGATTTGGGGACCACTTTTCGCGGACTCCGTAAATGCGGCCCGACCCCTGGAGGATCCCTGCAGCTCAAGATGTGGAGCTACTACGGAGTACTCCGTACAGTAACCTCAAATCCCAAACTGTCACTGAATTCTACGTCTCTTTATAGGCCCGATTGGAGCCCAATGAAACCACGGAATCAATTTTACATGGAATCATGTGTAACTGATAATAATTCTTGATAGCGCTTGTAACCTCCATCACTTTTCACTAAGGATTCTCTAGCTAGTGGTTCGATGCTCTGTTGTATCACATGCTTGGATCGTGGTTTATCAGGCTTCTTGTAGCTCTTTAGCTAACATCCTAACTTTTTATAGAGAGTCAATCCTTTCAACTTATCTCTCCTCGCTTAAAGATGAGCCCACCTATATGTCCCGCCCAATTGATTGCTTGCGGGAAGGCTGAGCAGGTTATTTGCTAGATACTAAGGTATCCTAGTATGACATGGCCACAGATGATTATGCGGTCCCACTAATGAAGCATTAGAGTGCCTTAGCGTAACCCTCGAAGCGATAACTATGACGAGTAGTAAGTTGTGAACATCCCTGCTATTACGGTGAGCACATTCATCCATATCCACATCTTCTTTGGGCAGTGTGGTTAGAAGAATTCGCACAATTCGGCTTGCCTCAAGAAAATATCCTATAGTCCACAGTTCCAGCTTGTTAGGATAGAACAATGTATGTACTAGAAGGGCTCATATCTCTTGAAGAGGACAAATTAGAAAGTTTACGTAGTAAATATTCATTTAATGGATAAACTCTACTACAGCTTCTTAAGCTCGACGGAGGATGAACTTTCTCTATAAATTGAATAAAATACGCTATGCCTAGTATCTAAGCGATCCATTCTTGAGTCACACCTACTGCAGTATACAGCCTAACACGAGTCATATACCTGGAGAAAAAAACAAAAACTTTCAGCCCTCCAGTTAGTTAACTAACCAACTAGTGAGTCAGTTGTCCAGCCCAATGTTAAATTACCTAACAGATAAAGCCCTAGGGAAGGCCGAAGAAGTCATTGTAAGGGAACCAAGCGAGGCAAATATCTTAGCTTGAATACCGCAACGAAGGGGTTGCGTAGAAATATCCTGATCGCTCTCATATTGAGACCTCAAAAATTGCTACAACTTAGTTGTATGTACGGAGTATCGGGAGCAGAGTGGCCTCCGACGGTGGATTTTGGTCGCGTGAACCACCAGCAATATCGTCTAGAGTACCGCTAGGTCGAATTAAGCTTAGTATCATACAGGCCCTCCAATAAGGCCTAGCGCTATAGTGCTGTCGTCTTTGCCACCTCAGCTCGTGCGGCTTTCACGGCATTTAGAAGTCATCACCTAGCCGTCACGAGCTAATTGTGGTCTATAAATGCTATCTACTAATTATCACCCACATACGACCATAGGGTGTGGAAAACAGGGCTTCCCGTCCGCTCAGCCGTACTTAAGCCACAGAAGTTAAACGTGATAAAGCTGAACTGCGCCCTATGTGATTTAAAGCAGCACTTTAGGGGTCGGCACGAATAACGAATATATTCGTATTCGCTACGAATAATTTTTTTATTCGTTACGAATATTCGTAGTTTGATCACGTGATAAAAATACAGTCTAATATTGCCTTCAATGCTGAATGATAGATGATGAATTTAATGCATTCATCTTCTATCATATCTAACGCTGTCGGAACATGCTAGCAAAGAAAAATTTCCCTATAGTACCAAGACTAGACCTCGCTAAGCGCGGGTTTAGGTTAGGTTTTCAACTTCTTTACCCGCCCACGGGCAACCCACCGCGGGTTTTAGATAGCATAAACCCGCCTATAGGTTCTTAGCGGGTACCCGCGGGTTGCCTAAAATACCCAAAAATAGGGATAAATCGTGAATAAAACTGATTAGTCACCTAGCGTAATCTTGATATTTTATTATTATCACGCTCTCGCGTGGGTATTACACTTAAACAATGCTTGCGCCTTATTAGAATATATATATATATCTATATAGCTCGATTTTTCTCACTATATTCTTTCTATATCCTAAGGGATATATAGCTATATCGATAAACTTATAAGGACTTAATATATTCTAAGCTTACCTCACTATATTAAGACAATAATCTTAGACTTAACGAACTAAACTAGCGACTTATAATGTTCTTAGCGTCCTCCTAAAGTCGCGCGGGTTTAGGTTAGGTTGGGTTTTAGGTACCCGCGGGTTTACGCGACTCACAAATAGATAGATCTAAACGCACAACGCGACTTTAATAAAATCTACGTTTAAGCACTTAAGATAAGGAAATTAATTATTAATGTTACGGAACTAGCCTAGTTGTGCAACTTAGACGGGTTTTAAGAACAAGAAGGTTTCGTTGAGGAGAGGAGTTCTCCTGAGCTAACAAATGTGTACATATTCCGTCGAAGGCGGTAACGTTTGGCAGATTCCGCGCAGCATAAGCAAGCATCTTCCATAGGGCTTCGTACGAAGTACGACGGCCCCATAACAATACCCCCCTCCCCTAGGACAATGACTGTTTGCTTCAATAGACGCCAGATTAGGAATCAATGGGAGAAGCAAACAAAATCGTGGCCTATGATTGGCCGAATAGGGCAAACGTGTTCGACGACGTCGTTGCTTTGTAGCATGTGGGCTGTAGTTGGAAGGCATAAATAGGTCCTCAATTCCCTTCTTCTTCTTCTTTTTTTTATTTTTTATTCGCAGTCTCCAAACCTCCTGTCAACCATGGAGTCGTCTAACTTCAATCTTCTGTCGTACGACCCGCGTCAAGTCGAACCCTCCTCCCGGCGTATGCTCCTGCCCCTGACTCGCATTGAGCACGGAGGGAAGCAGTATGTCAAGGTCCGTCTGACTGCTGCGGGAAACGAAGCCCTTCGAATGCTGTGCTTCACTCCAGTGCAGCGGGAAGTGTGGAGCTGGCCCTCTCCCTCCGCCCTCTGTTGTAGAGGAGCTCATTGACTAGACCGTACGAGGCTTAGCACTTTTCATAGACGCAATCAACACACAATATCGAGGTTTCTAGACTCAGTTAGCACTAGCACGAAGCGTAGTAGCTAGCCTTATCAAGGGACCCATCGATCTTTCTAAACGGTGCGGTCTTCTGTAGCCACACGTCTAACGCTATTGTGTCCTTGAGTGCGTCCGCTGGCTCTGTGGTTGGTCTCGTGTAGCCTCTCCACTTAACCTTGTAGCTCGTACGAGCGTTGTTCCTCCTGCGTGTTTGTGTCTCATCTATAATTTCTTCGATCTCCCACTCTTCTTGGTCGTCGACTATGATTGCTGGTGGTTGCGGTTCGTGTGCCAGTTGGGACGGAAGGGGGTCTTGTGTCGCGAGTCGTACGAGGTTAACATGGAATACTGGGTGAATGCCGGGTGGCGTATCCAGTCGTACTGCGTGGGAACCAATAACTTCCTGAACCCTATATTTTGCGTTCTTCCAGTCGAGCTTCTTGCAGGGTCGTTCGGTCTGTATATTTTTCAGGTTTAACCAAACAGCGTCTCCGACTTGGAAGGTAGGCGCCGGTTGTCGGTGCCGGTTAGCGTTTGCTTCCATCTGTTGGTTGGCGTAGGCTATCGATGCACGTGCCCAGTCCATAGCTCCAGCTAGCTTTCGTACGATCGTTTCTGCTTTTTGGATTGGGCTTGGTTCTGGCGTGGTAATGGTGCTGTTTATACGCGGTTCCTCGATTGGTGGGTCAAATGGAGAGAGGTTATAACCGTGGGTTAGGAAGAAAGGGCTTACGCCGGTTGCTGCGGAGACTCGTCCATTTAACGCAAGTTCGGCCATTGGGAGTAGGCGTTTCCAGTCGTTCTGTTCAAATCGTACGAAGAGGCGTAGGTACACTTCTAACGTGCTATTGTGTCGTTCGGTCTGTCCATCGGTCTCGGGGTGGTAGGCCGTCGACAGCCGTCGTATAACCTTACATAGCTGGCAGATCCGTTCCCATAGGAGGCTTGTGAATTGGGTTCCTCGGTCCGAGACGATCGAGTTTGGGAATCCGTGTTGTCGTACGAGGCTGTCAATGATTGCCCATGCGGAGTCTTCGGCCGAAATTGACTTCATCGGCCTTAGGATCACTCCCTTTGTCAGCCGATCTGTGATTACCAAGATGTTCGTACGGCTGT